GTATTTGCTAAGACTTAGTGTGTAACTAAAGATTGTTTAGATAGGTTTTTATCACCTTATCTTTTCGTAAATAATCTTGTAAAATCTATATTTATTTTCTTTATCAATATATATTATAAATTTGAAAATATTGTGTTTGTATTCATCCCCCCTCCTTTTCTACAAACTGTTTTTCTATTCTTGTAGACCCTCAAGGGACCAACAAGTGGTATGAGAGCAGTGTTTTCTTTCTCTCTTTGTTAAGATGTTTTCAGTATTAGTTTATCTTCTTTCATAGATAACTTTACCACTTACAAATGGATTTACAAATTACAAACACACACACACAAGATAATGACTCTCTTGCCAAACCTCCTCGGTTTGTCCGTGACAACTATAGTCTCTGGAAGAACCGGATGTCCCTCTTTCTGGAAGGTGTGGATCCTGAAATTCCATATTATATAGAAAATGGACCATATATTCCATTTGCTATTGCTCCGACTGTTCCAGCAACAGCTACGACTGCCGCGATTGCTGAACGGCAGATTCCAAAGCTTTAACATCAATGGAGCGTTGAGGACAAAATGAAAATAGCTATAGACACGTGTGGTCGGTCTATAATAGCTATGTCTCTTCCTGATGAGATTTATCACTCAGTGATGAAACTCAAAACTTCTAAATCCATGTGGGACACACTTTGTGTCCAATATGAAGGAACCACTCAGGTTCAAGAGACCAGAAAGATCAATCTAGTAAAACAGTATGAAAGCTTTCTCTGTGGAAAGTCTGAGACGCTGTCTGAAGTACATAAGAGATTTAACTGCCTTTTTATTTATCTTAGGGCTGTAGGCAGGGAATATTCTAATTCTGAAACTTTAACCAAATTTCTAGAATGCCTTTCTGAGTCTTGGGACACCTTTTCCATGTGTCTCAAGATGTCAAATGACATGTCCATTCTTTCTCTTTCTACTTTATGCGGGATTATACTTAACCATGAGTAATCTCATCAACTGAAAAGGAATCTTGTAAAAGAATCCAGGAAAATGAAAAGCTCTCCTCTGGCTTTGATCTCTAAAGCTTCTTCAGTTGAAACTTCTTCTACCCCGTTTGTTTCTTCTCTTCCTCCCGTTGTTATCACGGAGATAGATTCTTCTATCTCTGAGGACATTCCAGAATCTGATTTAACAGATTTTGATGAGTCCCTGGCATTCCTGACTAAGTCATTTAGGAGGTTCGCCAGTAAGAGCAACTTCCGCAGATCTCCTCAGTTGTTCCTCAGGGAAAAGCCAAAATCTGAAAGAATAGACAAGGCTTCAGCTGTCTACTACAACTGTCACCGGCCCGGACACTTTGCAGATGAATGCAGATCAAAGAAGATTGTGATGCCATCTTCTAAAGCTCCTTCCTCCTTCAGGACCAAAGATGAGAAGTACTCAAAACTGAAGGAGAAGTACAAGAAGATGAAGAACAACCAGCGAAAGGCTAAAGGCCTTATTGCTGAAGAGCTGACTGGGCGGAGTCATCCGATGAATCATCTTCGGATGAGGAGAATAAAGCCTATGTCTGCTTGATGGACATAGATGTAGATGAAGGATCTTCAGAAGCGTCTAATTCCTCTAAGTCATCTTCTTCTTCTACTCAGGATGTCAAAGGCATATGGTATCTGGACAGCGGTTGTTCAAGACATATGACTGGAGATAAATTCTTCTAACTCACCTCAAGGAAGAAAGAGGACCTTCCGTAACCTTCGGTGGAAATGGAAAAGGATATACCAAAGGTTTTCGTATAATAACCAATGGTGCAACAACTTTCAAACGCGTTGCATATGTTGAAGGACTAAAGCACAATCTTCTTAGCATCAGCCAACTGTGTGATAAAGATTATACAATTAAATTCTCAAAGAATTCATGTCATGTTTTTGACAAAGATGATAAGGTTGCTCTAACCGGTTCTCGTCTAGAGAACGTATATATCATCAACATGAATTCTTCCCTCGCCGAAAATAGCTGCTTCTTCTCCAAAGCCTCATCAGATATTAACTGGTTATGGCACAAACGGTTATCTCATCTCAACTTCAAGACACTCAGTGAGCTGTCAAGAAATGATCTTGTCACTGGTCT